AAAAAAAAAAAAGAAAAAACAAATGATGATGATGTCATGGAGAGGTCAATTTGACATCATTATGAATCTAGCTATATGAAAATAAATAAATCCAAATATATATATATTAAATGGGTGTCGTTATGTGGCATGGGCAATCTTGATTGTTCTCTCGATAGATTCAAATTCAATCATAATGTGTATGGCCATGCTCTATGTATGCATCTATGTATGTATCTATGCTAAATGCCACGTCACTGGTCCCTCTGAGATGTATATTCACACAAATATATATATATATTAATACAGTGTTGTTGTGTTTTTGTACATTTTGTGTTTGTATTTATTATGTCTTCTGAGAATTATCCTGTTACAGTGTTTTCATAAAATTCCACAAAAATGTCAGAAATACAGAACAAATTTTTCGCACGCTTGACCTCGATCACAAGGGAACTCAATAATAATTATTATGACACACTACTTACTTTCACACATGTGATTTTTTTTCTTTTTTTTTATATATCCGCTGGATAATTTATTTATTCAGATCCTTTTTCATTTTTTTTTTATTTATATATTATATTATATTATATTATATAGTGTATTTCAGATCTCACCCTCGTGATCAAAATTCATTATTAAGAATATCTGAAGACCTCGTTTGTTTGTTACTGTTAGGTTAGATTGACTAAATAATAGAAGTTACTAAGATATTTAAATTGTCAAATTCAATATTGTTCAAGTTCATACTACAGAGTAAAAGTCTGCAATTAAATGCTACTGCTTCATGCAATTAACTAGAGCTCGTTTGCGTTGATGAAATTGTCACATATACATTAGTTAAATGATTATTTTTTGCTAAAAAATTAGTGAATTTCATTATCCAAATTGGCATATACAAGTTTAATTAACTAATTTACCATATAATAGTACTCTTGAATAATTTATCTCAAAGACTAGTTATAATTTAGGGTGAATTACAACCACCTCTACAGTAAAATGTAATAACAAAAGAATCTCTTATTTTTGAGAAATTGCATGCAGCTTCGTAGTTTGTAAATTTCTTACATACATCCTCTATAAAAGAGCATTAATGTAAGAAATATACAAATTTATGAGAGATTGATGTAATTATAGGAAATTGAGGGGTTTTCTTTTGTAAATATACAATACCTAAGCGGATGGTTGTAATTTAACAAATTTAGGGTAAAATTTATTGCCTCAGATTTTGCATAGTACTTAACATATAAATTATAATAAAATCAAAGGTGAAAGCAGCAGGCATGGCCCATGCTATGTGTCTTATATCAAATATCATGTTTTATTAAATAGGATTACTGACATCATGGTCCATCAGAATTTAGAAATGTCTTTTATATTTATCACTAGGTCCCTCAAGTATCGCACTATTGTATTTTATACGCACTCTTCACTTCTTTTATATTGTCACTAGGCCCCCCAATTCCTTCTAAAGACATATTTCTTTTCTTTTTTAATTTAAAAAAAAAATTAATCAAAATTATAAACATATTCTCAATTTTTATATAGATATCAAAAGTGACGATAAAAATGGATTAAGTGGCAACAAAAAGAATTGTTAGTGACAACATCACTTAATATATGTATTTAGTGACAACTTTTGATAGTGTCACGAATATGTATCGCCGATTCCATTCTTGTTATGTAGATTGGGAGTGCATGGGTTGGTGCCCGATATTAACATAGAGTAGAATGATTAGTAGAAATTCATGCGCCTAACAAACACTAGGTGATTCGCTAGGGTTGTCCTGATAGTGAATGAATTCAGCAACCGAAAATTCAGGTAGAGTAAAAACTTAAGTAGAATTACTCACATATAGAGCATACATAAATATGGTTTTACCATTCCTTATAAACACAAAAACAAACACACACGTCTACATTGGTGTGTGTAGATCAACTGTAAAATTTCGACTGATATAATCTTCACGGGTATTGTATAGACACCACAAAAAAAAATCTTTTGAGTGACAATATTTTTCACATAGTTAGACAAAAAGTGTTATCGCTATGCTTGTCACTAACGGTGTGTTGCTAATGCTCTATAGTGACGATAAATAAGGATTAAGTGACAACAAAAAAAGCTATTACTAACAATAAAAAAAGATGTTGTCACTTTATGTGTGCATTAAGTGACAATTTTTGCATTTGTCACAATTGGGGTGTCGTTAATGCAACATTTTCTTGTAGTGAGAAATAACCTTTGTGCTCGTTAAAATTAATTCAATTCAATTAACAATCAAATACAATAGTGTCTCTTTTTTTATTTTTATTTTTTTGTAAAATTGGATGAAAAATGAAAAACAACTCGAACAAAAACCGTGTTAGTTTCGAAGTTTATTTAAACTAGTAGAGCATGTTTTTAGAAATTTGATCAGGTTTAGTAATTAATTTAAGTTGATTTTTTTTTTTAATTAATTCGTATGGGGACCCTCAATCCAAACCTTCATTCTCATCCATTTTGCTTTGTTTGTAAGCATATATGTATGTATGTATGTATGTAATTGAATTTAAGAAAATCAGATAAATTAAAAAAAAAAAAAAAAAAAACTTTAGTATATAAATAGGAAAAGGTGTAATAATGATAGAGAAGTAAAATAGTAGTGGACCACAAGAGAGAATAAGTAGTAATTGAGGAAGAGGGAGAATATATATAGCTAGGTTGGATAATTAACCAGACAGCCGAAGCGTTCTCTTCTGCTGCCACTTGATATGATTTCCCAATACTTAATTTAAATATTTATTAAACACTGCCAACATACATGTGCCTATTTTAGAGAGAGAAAGAGTGATCAGAGAGATCAGAGAGAGAGAGAGAGAGAGAGAGAGGTATCATTTCTTTGCACAGACTTTTGTTGAAAAAAAACCTTGGGATTGAAGGCGAGGAAGCTTAATTATATTAGCTAGCTTAATCATGGCATATTAATTCGAGTAACCATATATGTATTATTTATTCATCTCCTCTCCACCTGTTATTCAAACTAGGAGAGAGAAACTAGAGAGAGAGTAGTATTTATTTGTTTTTATTGGTAAAGATTGCAGAAAGTTTTGGACAGAAAAGAAAAAATAAAATAAGTATAGAGAGAGAGAGAGAGAGAGAGAGAGAGAGAGAGAGAGGTCTGAAGAAGAAGGGTTTTCATATATATATATATATATATAGTCCTTAAAATTCATTCATTGATTCACTCATGCTGTCTTTCTCTCTTTCTCTTCAAGGCTGCTTTATCGATGAGACATTGAAAGAGTAAAGAGAGGACTATATATATATATATATATATATATATATATATATA